GTTCTCTGGAATCCCTTCCATGTTTAGTTTTCTCCTTAAAACGTTACCACTAAATAGGTTATTTCTTTACTCCCTGTCTCCTTCCATTGGAACCAAATAAGCAGGAGGCAAGTCTTTTTGTCTCCTTTGTTCTCTGCCACACATTAGTACCTAAAATAAATACTAGCTCCTCAGTAAATACTTATTGATTAAATAAATAAAACTGAGCGACAACGCCCCTCTGCCTGCCAGTGCTACCTTGGCCCCTTCCCCTTTCCATCATGATTTCTCCCCCATCCCTTCAATCACCTCTTGAGTACAGCACGTTAGCCCTTGATCTTCTTAGAGTTCTTCTTGCTAGCTGCATCTCGGCAAAGTACCAGCATCTGGGCTCCATGATTATCTATGCCATGAAAATCCTCTTTAACCCCACCCTCTTATCTTCCACTGCACCTGCCGTGCCCACCCCCAACCCTTTATTTCTACAATTAAACTTATTTTGCTCTTTGTCCAGCCCAGAGTAAAATAAGATTTGTAACTCATGCTAGATTTAGATCAACAAAAATTTGTGAGTACCACCCAACGCTCAAAATCCACTGTACACAAAAGAAAGATTAAGAATCAGAATCGGATTTGAAAATTGAGCACTACATATATTCTCTGGAATCTCTGGTTGAGTCAGCAGTCTCAGCTGCAAAACAAGAATAGTATTTACTTTGTATTCTAAGGGTTATGTTCCAATGAAATGGTATACATAAGAACTTTGGGGAGGTTTATAAGCGCGTCCTAACTGCTAACCAAATGCTAACACTACACTGTGACAATGCGGCGGCTTTGGGGACTCGTGAGAAGTCCACGCTTCCTAGTATGAATAGACTTCATCGCTTTCCTTCTTCCTTCCCACGTCAGAATTCCGTTTTTGCTCATTCTGGGTCCTTATTTAGGAACAGTGTCTCTCTTCTTTCCTAAAACTAACCCTAAAATTACCCAAACTAATACTTTCCAGCCCTGTCCACATATTCCAATCAGTGACGCTTTCAAAAGTACAGATGAGTAAACCGATTACCTATTTCCAGGCCAACTAAATACGAATCTCCAGGAATGGAAGTATTATGTCAGGACTTTATGTTGTTGTTTTATGAGCCAGGGTCTCAGGCAGCCAAGGCTGACCTCGAACTCACCGTGGTTAAAGGATGGCCTTGAACACCTAATCTACTGCCTCCGCCTCCCAAGTAGGATTACAGCATAGGCCATTACATGTGGCAGCATTTTGTTTTGAAAGTTCTCTGATAGAATGCCAGGACAAGTTATCGGGGTAAAGAGGATCCTTTTAAACAGGGTGCTGGAACAACTGGATACTCAAAAGTGACGCTGAATCCCTTTCTTATATCATATTGAGAAATTAACTAAGCTTTGAGGTAAAACTATAAAATGTCCAAATGGAAACAGAGGAATGGACCTTATTTGTTAGAGAACACAGCCTTTATAACATCAAAGCACACACAAAAAAAGAAAGAAACTGAACTTCATAAAGACGTAGGTTTTGGTACTCAACACGAAGAAAAAGGCAGCCCACAGTCTATGAGAAAATATTTGCCATTTAATTAGCACAGCGCAGCTTGTGTCCAAAGTATAGAAAGGGCTTTCATAAATCGATAATAAAAACACAAATAGCTATTTTTTAGTATATTCAAAGAGTCTGAATAGACATTTCTCTAGAGAAGATACACGCATGGCCAGATTCATCAAAAGATGCTCAGCATTACCAGCCGCCAGGGGGACATCGACAAAGGCACGATGAGATGCCACTTCACACCCACTAAGGTGATGCTCGCGACATGTCGGGTAACGGTTGCAGCTTCCCCGGATGTGGAGAGGTCTGAACTGTGCGTTGCTGATGGGACTGTGCAATGGTGCAGCCAACATAGAGAGCAGCTCAGTGCGTCCTCAGTTGTTCAGCACACAGTTATCATACGACCCGCCATTTCTACCCCAAGAAAATTAAAGGATAGGCAAAAACTTGTACATGAATATAAAAAGAAGTAGAATTCCTAGTAGATAAAAGTAGAAATAAAACAGATGAATGGAAAAAAAGAGATTTAACTATGTAAACTTAAATGTTATTTGGCAATATAAAGAGATGAAGTACCGATACATGTAATGGATGAACTTTGAAAAAAGTGAGTAAAGCTAATTAGAAATGATCATACACTATATGATTTATCTATAAGAAATGCCCAGAAAAAAGACCATTCTATTGGACTTCCATATACCAAGTCCAATAAATTTTTTACACAGTTAAAAACGAAATGTCCAGAATAAGCAAATAAATAGGAAACGGGAGATTGATGGGTGGTTGCCTAGCGCTGAGGGGTGAGGAAGAATGACTGCTAGTGAGCATGTAGGTTCTTCCTTCCTTTTCTTCTCCTTCTTCTTCTTCTCCTTCTTCTCCTTCTCCTCCTTCTCCTTCTCCTTCTCCTCCTTCTTCTTCTTCTTCCTCTTCTTCTTTTTTGATAATGAAAATATTCTAAAATTGACTGTGGTCATGGTGAATATACTAAGACCACCCAATAGTGAAAAAAATAGGAAGGATGGAAAAGAAAAGGGAAGGAGGAAAATTGTGTTGTAAATTCTAATGTTAAAGTTATGTATACTAATTTTCCTTCTAGATTTCTTGGGAATAAAAATCGCATCTTCTAAAACTTTGACTCCTCCATTTCTTTTTCCGGAACCATAACAGACATAGCAGGTGCGTGATATCCTTGGAATGACTTATTTTTTCTTCAACCAGCAGAGTGTTCCTAGGTAATGCTCTTTAATTTTAACAAAAACTCCAAGTATCAGGCTACAGCACCTGGCCGGTCCATTCACCTTGCCTATCTTGGCTCACGTGAGCTCCACGTGTGATCAGTCAGCAGCGCACAAAGAGGAAGGGAAGGGGAAGTAGACAGTGCAAATCAGGCTCCCGCGTTCTGCGTCCAAGTACAGCCGCGGCGTGTACGCCCGCCCTTGGATGTGGCCTCTCGCCCTTAGGAGCCACGCTGATGCCAGTTCCCCAGGACCCAGCTCTGCTCTGACTGACTTTGTTTACTAAATAAATTCATCCCTACTCCTGGAGTAGTTTCAACTTTTAGACAGAAAGACATCTATTGATGATCACTGATACACAGTATTTTATTGTTTGATATTAAACAATTAAGAGTTATTGTTTTACCCCACAAGTACGTTATACATGAAAATAAACATAATCTAGAATGCAGCCACTAGGAGTGGGACGGTGGGGGTTCTCTATCCACCCTGTGCCTTAGAGGGACAATGTTACTTCAATAAATCCATGTGCAAGCTAAATTTCTTTCATGGAAATAAAGCTCTGGCCTGATGAAGTAAGCATAAAGACAGAATCTAATGAACATTTCCCAAAATGACTTTGAATACATAAACATAATTTTTTAGAGGTTAATCATTTGGTCTTCTAGTAGACTTCAACACTTTAATAGATCTTTGGAAATGCTCTCAACAAAGTCTTGAGAGGATAGAAAAAAGAAAAATCTTGTAAAATATTGAGATATTTTAAAATATTGGGAATTTTATCTAAAATAGTATTAAATGGTTCAACTCAGGAAATAAAAACAGCAAAACACAAAACTAGAATCGTCTGGGCAATAGGCGGAGGGCTCCCTCCTGCAACTCCAGGACATTAAAACACACAGAGAAAACAAAATGAGGATATTCAATATTAATTTGAGAAAGAAAATTAAGTATTTCAGTTTTGGGTATGATAATTTTAAACTGAAAGTATGTTCACTTAGAAGATTAAGAATAAAACTCCCCCCAAAGAATCCAGGGAAGAATGGCCTGAAAGCTACCATGAGTGCTACAGTTTAGAACTGTGCTCTAGGAGAACTCAAAACCAGGCACTGGCTACGAAAAGTAAGACGTGGTTGAGTGACAAGAAATAATGGGCCTAGAGCTCTCTCTCTCTGTCTCGGTCTCTCTCTCTCTCCACAAAGAAACACCAAAGGCATGTTTCAGAGTAGTTGACCAGTTGTTCAAAGCTGGGAAATATAGCTAGATCATGCCGGCTCAGGGTCCAGCTTGGGCAGAACAGGACAGTGCAGCAGCTTTCCTCAGATCAAACACAAGCACTGGAAAACAACCACGGACGCTTCTTGTCAGAACTATAAACAAATTCTCAAACCAACTCTACACACAGGCGACACCAGAACTTTCCCCAATTTCCAACACATAGCAGAGCAAACTTTCCAATTGGAAGTTCATCCTAGAAAAATATTCAGGCGCGCTTCTACACAACACAATCTCGGAACACAGGAAGAAATAATTTCATTAGCAATCTTAAAAAAAATAATTATCCTTCAATTTAAGGATAATGCTGGTTCAGCCTTCGGTGCAGATGTTTAGATATTAAAATGCTATTTTTAAAAGAGCCACAAATATGTATGAATATACCCCAACCGCTCTCATCATAAAGGCTTTTGAAAATGGTTGAAGAAGCATTTATCTTCCCATATTGCAAACACAAAATATTGACTGTTACACAATTATGAGACAAAGGCAAGGTTGAAGGGTTAGCCATGGTAGGAGGACAGCACAGGAGACAAGTGCAGGGCAAGCGAGAGCCTGCTGCGGCTTGCTGGCCCCGCTTTCTGCAGCTCCTTCCTGGTCCTCCCCGAGGCTCCCCCAACACATCCACATCCTCTCAAAGGAACTGACTCTCCCTTTAAGACGAACCAAGCAAGCATCCAAAGGCAACGTGCAGAACCGTAATCAAAAAATGTCCACGTCTAGCCGGCAGACAAGCAAGCAAAGAAAACCCAGCTGTCAGTCCCTGAGTCGCGCCGGGGTTGGGGGGTTTTGGGTTTCCTCCGGCCTTTTCCTGTCTCTCCCACCTCGTTTCTCTCTCAGTAATAACAGTTTTCTAATAAGCGTAAAGCACAGATAAATTCTCCATCTGTCCTTGTGCGACACACGCTGCTGAAAGAGGAAAAGAGTGCAATACTCACAACAATGAAGAATTCCTACACATGCCGTTCCGTTTTCTCGCTCTAAAAAGATGGAAGGTTGATCTCCAGAGCCTTGCAGAATTAGAAAAATAAGGGGGCGGGAGATCGACCCACACAATCCTCCGGCCCACCGCAGAGGAGCTCAGGCTTGCTGACGTCACACATTCATGAATGGATGTAAATTGGGCTGGTTTAGGATCCCCGCACAGACTTAGTGGTGGTGTGTGCTGTGAAGGAAAAGGTGGGGGGGAGGAAGGGGGAGGGCCCAGAGCACACACAGCCAATAGGCTTCGGGCAGGTATGGCCAGCCCTCTTTCAGAAAGAATCTGGTCACAGAATAAACAGAGCCCGCCAATCAGACATCTGTCACAGCCTTAAACCAAACCAGCAGAGCTGCGGCGGCAGCGGGAGCAGTGTGGGAGTGGGGGTGGGGGTGGGACAGAAGAGGAGGAGAGAAGAGGAGAGGAGAGGATGGGGGGAAGAGAGGGAGGAGAGAGACTGTGATTATCATAAAAGCATTGGTCTTGCTATTGAATAAAGGAGTCAAAAGGGAATTCTGGAAGGCTCACTGCCTTAAAGTTAAATCACTAGAGCTTTCTACTCACTGGGGATATTAGAGCTATTTCCTTTAACCCCTTTCTTGATGTTCAATAACATGCTTAATGTGAGAAAAATAAATCAAAATCAGAGAATTAGTTCCTAAGATTAGAGACAGGTCACCATGTATACACCCATAACACAATTCGGCACACTAAAATAATAGGGCAAGGGTACATGCAATTAAAACTGAATTGCTTTTTATAACAATATGTTCCTGACCTTTGTGGTGTGTCAAAAGTGGGAGGAGAAGGGTGACTTACAGTTAGATTTAAATGAAGTACATTATTCCCTCATTAATTTTATTCAATATCTGACACTCAATTAAGGCAAGGTTCTAGCTGGGCGGTGGTGGCGCAGGCCTTTAATCCCAGCACTTGGGAGGCAGAGGAGGTGGATCTCTGTGAGTTCGAAGCCAGCTTGGTCTACAAGAGCTAGTTCCAGGACAAGCTCCAAAGCTACAGAGAAACCCTGTCTCGAACCCTCCTCCCCCCCAAACAAAACAAAACAAATAAGACAAACAAAAGACAAGGCTCTAAAAGGCTCTTAATGAATCTTGGAGCAAAATCTGACTTCAATGTGGACTCTTAGCAGCAAAGACATCTTGCTCACTCACCAAATGGGCTCATGACATTTATTTACTCTGAATTTTTTAACATTATACCAAAGTGGAGACTAACGTAACAGACTATCCCTTCTCCCTAACACTTTGCTTTACAATTATCAATACTTTGCAAATACTGACCATCACTTTTTGTATTTGGAAATGATCCCAAATCCTTGAGCCCACACGGTCTCAGTTGCGAGAAGTCTAGTGGCTGGGAGCCTTCGCACAGATTCATTCTAGTGCTCCACAAGATGCGTGTAGAACAAAGAGAGGGGAAGTGCTTGTTACAAGACTTTTCCACTATTGCTTTATACAAGGACTAGAATATCAGGGGCAAAGAGGGTCACCCGATCTCTAGAAAAAGTCTGTAGAAGATCACTGTGGAAAAGATGGACCAAAGAAGCGTATCTATCCATGTAGGGTAGGAGTGCTCCCGGCTGGTATAGTACAGAAATGTTGCTAGCAGACCCTGAGGGTACCACAAAGACTATGCCAAATATCCATGTCAACCTTGAGAATGATTAAATGAGAATAAGATGAAAAATATGCATACTTATTTGTTTTAATAGTAATCAAGACCAACAAGAATACAATCAAACTCCCAGACTTATAAAAAACAAACCAGCCGGGTGGTGGTGGTGCACACCTTTAATCCCAGCACTTGGGAGGCAGAGGCAGGCAGATCTCTGTGAGTTCAAGACCAGCCTGGTCTACAAGAGCTAGTTCCAGGACAGACCCCAAAACCACGGAGAAACCCTGTCTCGAAAAACCAAAAAAAAAAAAATTTTTCCTTTTAAAATCATACAGGCTAACTAACAGAGGGAATCAACAGACCACATGGGCTTACTATGGATGGTGCCAATAAGATCCGCAACTCGTGTATCAAGCTACATATGTTAAAAGTTTTCAGGGGTTTGCATGTAAATCATATCCACACGAAGAAAGCCATTTTAAAAGCCAGTTGGCTTTGCTCTGGAAGTTGCCACAATTATAGCAAGAGTCAGTTAGTAGCAGCACATTGAACAAGTCCTCCAGTGGTAGCGAGCGTCTCTGCAGCAGTTCAACAGTACAGAGCCTAAACATGCCCCTAAGAACAGCCCACCCAAGACTGCTGGCTTAATACATCACCTGGTGAAGTAAAACTGATGGGTGTATGGCCTTGTCACTTCAGCCTGGTGGATTCTCTCTGGGTTAGCATGCTTCGCGGTACCACTGAACCATCAACTGAACCAACAGGGTCCTCTAGGTCAAGTCTCACGGGAGGCCACTAGGAAGGTGCCTATCCAAACTGTAGAAGGTGTAGACATCATTCTCAGAAGTGATCATTGCATGTGGGGAAAGAAGAAGGGAAGACAAACATATGAAGGTGTGCACCCTAAGAGGGCGCCACCCAAGAGAACCCTGCTGAGGTGACATGAGTGCACAGACATGGTCATCACAAGTGATACGTGCCCTTGAACTCACAAAGATCCACCTGCCTCTGCCTCCTGAGTGCTGGGATTAAAGGCATATGCCACCACTGCCCAGCCTGAGGAACCAAATTTTTAAATTTTCGTTAAGTTTTAGAAATAATCACATGTGGCTAATGGCTAACATCCAGTATAGTTACCTCAATAAACCCTTTGTTGAATTCTATCATCTTGAATAGTTTTTAATGTCAGCAACATGGACAAATGGGGGAGCTATACAGCAAATTAACCCCTTCAGGTATCAGTAATGACTAGGAGATGATTCTGGTCTTCTTACTTAAGAACAGTTTCATAATTCATTAGCAGATAAAAGTCTGCCAGACAGTGGTGGCACACACCTTTAATCCCAGCACATGGAGGCAGAGGCAGGCGGAGCTCTGTGACTTTGAGGCCAGCCTGTTTTTCACAGTGAGTTCCAGGACAGGAACCTAAGTTACACAGGAAACCATGTCTTGAGAAACCAAAAAAAAAAAAAAAAAAAAAGGCAAAAACAAACAAACAAACAAATAAACAAAAAAGCCCAAACCTAAATATAGGAATCATGGTACATTTTTTCTTGCTATAGAAATATAACCTGTTTTAATTTTTGTTTTTTGTGAAAATGTATATTTAAAAAAAGAAAATGGCTTGTTATAAAACTATAAACTGAGGCAGGTCTTAAGGACCAAGACTCAGCAGTTACTTTTGATCAAACATAGTAGAAAAAAAGATACAGTTAGCACAAGTTCTGATGATGCAGACTTGGATTTCCGCCCCAGGTACCAGTGTGCAGGGGTCAAAACTGGCGAAGCTCTGTGCTGCCTGTCAATCACGGGAGCCTAGACTGTCTGAGCTTCAGTTTTCTCCTTCGTAAACAGGCCTATAGAGGCTACATTATGCACTGTGCAGATGTTAGATAAAGTAGCGCACAGTCATCAGATTATGGAAGGCAGCACGCTGTATCTGTAGTTGGTGCGTTATTAGTCAAACACTGTGGACTCCCTCACCCCTTTACAACAGAAATTTCAACAACTACTCAGATGCAAGACTCAAAATTATGGAAATAATACACTATTTTTATTATAATAAAACTCTAACAGATACATTCAGGAAATCATATAATTGATCAGTAACATTTTTTTCCCCAAAGGAAAGGTCAACCAAGTAACCTTTCTTTAGGAGACTGGCAGAATCATCTGAGGTTCTGAACCAGTGCGGACAGTGCTTCAGGTAGGCAGGCCGGCTAATAAAGAACCCTTAGAAAGCAGCTAAAATTTTCACATTAGGATGCAGCTTGTACAAAACGGTATTATCTAGTATGGAAAACACTCTCCTAGTTGAGAATACGGGTCTGAACTCTCTACTCTCATGTCTGTGTGTTAACCCTAACCTCTCTGTACCCTTCCCATAGCGAATGCACCATTAATCAACACAGGAATTTAGTGTTCAAAGACCTTAGCAAGCTATTCAATTATGTTTGCTTACTTCCCATTAAACGGAGAAAATGATTTTAAAAAATAAGGAAAATACTCTTCTACAAATCACTAAGTTGTACTTGTGTTAAGGGAGAGTCCCACAGCTACACAGGCTCCAGGGGTCGCCAGCCTGGATCAGCTTGGCAAGATCACGGCCACTCAGTCCCTTAGTCTCATTTGTATTTAAAAGATTATTATAAGGAATACCAAATGCTTCTGCATTGTCCAGCATCGTGCATGGTGTCTCCCAGAAAAAGAGCTCAGGCAGGGGGTTTGCACTAGAGCTTCATACCAGGGAGAGGTTTTCTATTCTTAGAAAATTAGACACCCACATTACAGGTAACTGCACTATAATCCAGTGAATTACCACCTTTGTCCCTGTTGCTGTGGTCACAGTCTGTTTATGTCTAATATACATGCTTTTATAATTAACGCTTTGCTTGTTCGTCCTTGTTTTGAATTGACTTCCCTCCTAACCTCAGTGTGTATGTGTGATGATAAGCCCTTAAAATCACTATGAATAAAAATTTTAGAATTAAATACATATGTATGAACATAAAAAGATAAAAATCTCATGTAGGTAAATTCTATTATCATCTTTATGATAAAAGGAACCCCTTAAACGCATGCATAGTTTGGCAAACTTAAAAGAGTACCATTAGTTAACTGAATCTGAGCTCTGAAATATTTTTTCAAAGGATAATAAAACATCAAATCAGCTGTAGAGGAGCAATTTTTGTAATGCTATATGCTATCTAGACAAACTGTAACAACATGATGAAGTTTTAATGTATCCTCTCTGCCAAAGGAGTGCTTATTAGTGAAGGATATAAGAATTCTCCTGACTGATACTGCAAACACACTGGAGCAAATTGTTTCTCAATTGATCAAATATTTAGCAACCTCAAAATACACCATCCATAATGATGATGATCCATTGTGGTGAGGTGCCATAACCAAACTTTCAGGGGTCTAAAAATACTGTCTGGAATGCTGGAAACATTTTACATACTAGAAGAACAAAGTGAGACTGTTACTCTGTGCCTTGCATCATCCAGGTCAGGCCATTGTCGAGGGTGGTGGCACAGTGTGAAGACGGGG